CTAGTCGAGTTTTCAAGACACCTCAGGAATTAGAAGTGATGCGCTATGTTAACAGGGTCAGCAGTGAGGCACATAAAGAGGTAAACTAACATTTTATATCATCAGCTGGCTTTGCAAAGTTTAACATTCTGTAGACTTAACGTCTGAGCCAAAACATGCTTTCTAATAACTGTGACTAGATCTTATTGAAAGTGTGACCATGATGATTGTTGTTTATCTTAGGTGATGAAACGTATCAGACCTGGGATGGCAGAATTTGAAATAGAAAGGTAAATTGAATTTTCAGTTACTTTCTCATTCATATATAGAAAAGTAGCATGGAATTTTGTGCAAGAATGTGATTCTTAGCCAATAGGGTTAATACCATAAATGTAAATTAACCCACAATGTTGAAGCATTGACTCAAATTTTATCAAAAATCATGGAGTCAGCTGATGATTGAAGTCAATTGTACATTGCAGCTTGTTCCGGCACTTCTGCTATTCTCAGGGTGGATGTCGTCATATGTCCTACACATGTATTGGAGCAAGGTAACATTTAAGTCATTCAACCAAGAAAAAATATGTTTTTAATCAACAAATGGTGACAAGGTCCATAGAATTAACATTTCTACTGCAGAGTTCAGTACTGCACTACTGAAGAGTCTCAAATTCAGGGCAATTTTGAATACTGACAATATTATTTCCTATGAATATAAACAGAGGAGATATTGGAATATCTCAGCCTTCCCCTTGCAGAATAAAACTTCAGTGGTTATCGTGTTAATAATTCTCTTTCAGTGGTCATAACTGTGCTACTCTCCATTATGGCCATGCAGGAGCACCAAATGACAAGAAGATCCATGATGGAGATCTGTGGTGAGTTGAACATAATTCTAACAAATGAATAATTCATTTATTGAGAAGTCAAGCTAAAACGGTTTGAGAATAAAGAAAGCAATTAAAGAGTTCTGTTTGGGTGTGATAATGCTATTGAGGCAAGTGTCTTTCAAGGATAATTGCTCAGGTGCTGTGTCGGTTGAAAAGTCCTTTAAAGCCTTCACCATCAACTTGCTTTTACATGGTGTAGAAGACACAGAATACGTCACACTGTTGTTTTCATTGTTTTCTCATTCCCGGTTGTAATGAAATTCTATTGTGACGTATACTGTGTCTTCTACACCAAGTAATAGCCCATCAACTGACAGCACCAACTCTGGTTTTGTATAAGATAGTTCAGTGTGATGCTCGTAAATAGACTTTTGGCCATGTTGTTAATCAATTTATTCAAATTGATCTCTGTAATGGCTGTTTTACTAATATTATTTTGTAGCCGTTGTTGTTTATTTTCCTTTGCTCCACTTTACAGCTTGTTTGACATGGGAGGAGAATACTATTGCTATACGTCAGACATCACTTGTTCTTTTCCAGCCAATGGCAAGTTCACAGATGATCAGCGTAATATTTATGAAGCCGTCTACAAAGCCAGTCGTGCAGTCATGGCAGCCGTTAAACCTGGTAAGTGCTGTTATAAGTGCCTTTTTGTAGTTATCTAAGCTCCAGGTTCTGACGCTTTGTCATATATTCAGAGAAATAATCGCGATATATAGTGGAAAAAAAACATTTAGCGACACCTGTTTTTTTTGTTTTGTTTTGTTTTAATTAATTAAATGTATCAACAAAACTGAATAAACCAAACAAGGAGGACTGGTAACAACGCAAAGCGAGTGAAAACAGTGATTTATTTTTTTGTTCAGAATTTTCTTTTGCTATTGCTGACATTGTGACAGGCACATTTTAGCCTGTTCTTCCGGAGAAAATTGGTCGTTGTAAGTATGTGGCCTGTTAAGAGTGTTATGCCATTATAGCATTGCATTTTTCAAAAATAGGTCGTTACCCTCAACAGGTGTAAAGTGGCCTGATATGCACCGTTTGGCAGAGCGTGTCCAGCTACAGTGTCTTAGAGACATGGGGCTCCTGAAGGGAGACCTGGATGAAATGATGAAGGTTCATCTTGGGGCTGTTTTTATGCCTCATGGTCTGGGACATTTAATGGGACTGGATGTGCACGATGTTGGAGGATACCCAGAGGTAAAAATCTTACCATTAACATAGTGAATTCAGTTACAGCAAACTGGTTCAAAGGAAGAAAAATTTCCCAATGTGACCGATGCTTCGCCATATGATAGGTTCCTGCATATCACTAGGATTTTTTTTCAATATTCTACTTAACCAGGAAGGGTGTTGTCTCTGTGAATTTGATGTATGTGTCTCCTTTGTTGTCACCTCTCCCCTATCTCTATCTCGTCTCTGTTTTTTCTTTTTCCTGAAGCTCTAGTAGTTTTTTTTCTTTCGGTTAAACTCATTTCATTTCTTCGCCTAGCACTATAACAAAGAAAGTTCTGACCTTGTACTCTGCCAGAGTCTTGTCAACTCCAATTTCTTTAAATCTTACACAATTTGAGACTAGTCCGTTCATTACCATTTGAAATTTGCAGGGTACTGAACGGTTAAAAGAACCAGGCCTCCGCTCGCTCCGAACCACTCGTGTATTAGAGGAGGGAATGGTACTGACCATTGAGCCAGGACTTTATTTTATTGATGCTGTAAGTAACGACTGCTTGGTAATTACCTCGGAGGCCTTTTTACTTGCAAATATTTTTTGAAGGGAATAAGATAGTTACCAGTGAAATGGAGATTTGTTCTATTTTCAGACTTTGAATCCTGCTTTGGAAAACCCTGAGACGGCGCGATTCTTCAATCAAGAAATGCTACAGCGATTCAGGAATTCTGGAGGGGTGAGAATTTTTACCTGACTTCAAATTAGTGTTGTTTTCGTCCCAAAAATGTTTGTCACCAATGATTCTACCCCAAATGCTAAAGATGGTAAGATTTCCACAAAGAAGTACCAGGTAAAATCTTGAGATTTAAAAACCTAACATACCGTTTTGATTTTGTCCAGGTTCGAATTGAAGATGGTATTGTGGTGACGTCAGATGGAATGGAGCTGATGACGTGTGTTCCACGTACTGTGCAAGAAATCGAGGCTTTGATGGCAGAGGGAGCCAGTCTCCCGCCCCATTTCTCCCCTTCAGTTTCATCCCAAGTAGCAAATTAAGTTCGATTAGATCTCTTTGCACAAATGTGTAACTACCGAATCATAAGCAATATCAAGCGTGACTTGAACTTTACCACCAAAGTGATCCATACAAGCTAAAATGTTAATGCTCTTTTGTGTGAAAACTGTTTGTGACGATTCCTTCAGTTTTATCAATCATTTTTCTGTCGTGAGTGATATGATTGTGTGAGAAATAGAGACACTACATTTATTTGACAGAAGTTAATTCTTAACCTCTTAGGGGTTAAATTTCTCCTTGCAAAATCAAAGAATCATCTACACGGTATCATACAGAAAGATGGGACAAGGAAGAAAAAATTAACCTGGCAACATAGTTCGATTAGATACCAAATTCTCCTAGCTAAAATGGTAAGAAGTGTATGGCAGAAAGTAAGGAGAATCGCAATTTTAGAAGTTAATGATCAAGCATTGTTGATGACCAAACGAATAAGTAACCCAGAGATATTAAGCTCAACAGATGCAATTCTGTGCAAGCTAAAAGTTTGAAAATTGGTTTAGCTGGTTAGATCGAAAATTAACTATAGAAAGTTTACTAAAGTAAGAAATAGATACCTACATCAATTCAATAACTTTATGCATTCCTCGAAAGTCTTCATGAAAGAAAATTTGACAAAATTTTTTAACTAAGAAAATTCGCCAGAATAAATTAGAAATACTTTGAAATTAAATAACATATGATTTTAAAAGCTTATAACCGACTCCTTTAATGCCTGGGTGTCACAATAAACACTGATTTTCTTTCCTTTTTCCTTACCTTTCCTCTGACGTAGAGCTAATGCTCGAAGAGCTTTAGAATTGCTCTACGGTGGGCAATTCACATTATCAACTTAACTAGTAAAATCAAATTAAGTGTGCTTAACTCCATTTGTCTTGGTACTGCGTCTTCTTTAAGCTGTAAACAATGGTCTTCATTTGCTGCTTTTTCTTTTGAGTGTTCCTTGGTAAAAATTTTTATGAACGAACAGATATTTCCCTTCTTCTGAAACAAACATTAAACGTTCTCTTTTCTTGAATTAGATTTAGGCGAAGACTTATCATAGCGGACGTAAGGTTGGAAAATTGGGGAATATTACTTGGGTAATATCTTTAGATATCCCGGGGGATATTCGGTCACGTAATGCGTCTAGATCAATCGCGCGCGAGCCAAAATATTTGATGGATCTTAATGGTCGATATGCAACTCCTCTAGATCCACCGTTTCCTCCTACCCCTTCCACCATCGAAAAAAGAAAAAATAGGACGAGTAAATATTCTTCTTGGAGTTTTCTGTTGTCTTCCGTCTAAGTATTAAATTAATTCACAAATTTTTGATCATGCAGTGATTTTTATCACTTTAGAATTGTCCCGCAGTAAAATTGCAAATTGATAGTCAAGGGGGTTTTCAAAGTTTCTTGAAACTCTCATCGTCTCAAATTAGTAGCAATTCTGGGGCAACGTTTGCAAACAGTAAAGGAACCATAGACTTCCGGGTCTCATGTCTCTTCAAACTTAGAAAGTACTTGAGCTTGAAATGCTTTGGGAAGAGGACACTCCCTACATTTAGACTCTAAAAGATAATCTGACAGAGGAGTTAGCCACTGAGAATAGATTTTCATGGATAGAGCGACATGGTAAAGTGTTGATATTATTACCTTTAGGTTTTCATTGATAGTCAATAAACATATCACATCGGCATGTTTAATAAAGTCCGCGTTAATTTCAGGGCACTCCTTCTGCTTTCTATGAAAATACGGGACTTTTTGTTTAGATTGAGGTCACACTTGGGTTATTTTTCCACCACGCTTTCACCAAACATGCTGGAAGTCATCTGACCAGATGAACACAGTCGATCGGGGGTTCCGACAACTTACTGCCTAGTGTGACCTCGATCATTTGCGTGACATCGTGACCTAACCATCGCGGACCTCCATCTTGGTTCCGTGTAGACATCCGGTAGCAGCTATCGCAGCTTGTAATTATGGCAACAGTCGAGACAAAGTAAGTTAAACAACATATTTAAACTTGCTTTTCTGTTATGCAGATATTTCCGTATGGCCTTAATGATGTGTTCATGACTGGGAGCATCATTTGAATTCGTGAGTTTCTTTCTCTCAATTTCAATGTGGAGCATCTCAGTCGACGTCAAAATATTACAATATAATACGATAGGTAATAGTTCTATAATATTAAGCAATCAAATTATTTTTAACATTGAACCATTAACGAATTCATACAAATTATGGGGGTATTGTTTAGAAATAGCCTTAGGCATCCACAACTTGTAACATATTGATTTAAGAATTTGTATTGAAAAATTTACCCTCTAAAGTAGAACACTTCAGACTCTAGTTTGTAAGAGCAAATTGATGGTATCTTCTGATCTTTGTGAAATGGAATTGCAGTTACTGTATTACCTAACAGTTTTTATTATCAACTTAATGGCTATTATTGCCAACTTTTCTTCTTTATTTATATAAAACGAGTAGATTCCAAATTTCCACGCGTCTGTTCAGCAATAGATCAAAGATGTCAAAATGTGCCTTTTTTCGTTTTGACCACAATTCGATGTCATTTGTGATCTATTATGAACAGGCTCATAGCAGTATGGAATTTGTCTCTCAAAAAGGTAATCAGCCAATAGTTATATATACATGATCGTATTATCAATTTGAAAATTTTAAGGTCATTTTATCAGTTTGGGAACAGCTCCCTGGCTGTTCCCTTGAGCCTTCACACTATCAACCGAAGACGACTTTGTGAGCGACTTACCGATAACAAAGCTGTTCCAAAAGGAGCAATGATATTACTTCAAGGAGGGGAGCAGCATCAAAGATATTGCACGGATGTAGATGCTGTATTTCGACAGGTTTGATTTACATCTTACTTGCTTAAACATCTTTACAGTGAGATTTTGCAATTTTCTCTCCTTAATATTGTTAAAGGAATACAGTATTTGGATCATGTGTGTGATATGCAGCATTGGTTGTTCAGTTAATACATCGCTAGATAGTCACCTGGTAGCTGAACAACACTTGAAACTTTGTGGGGGGATGTCTCAGTCAATATGTGTGCCTCCTGTCTAGAAGAGACATTTGCTAACAGCACCTTGACTGTACATATCACTTCACTACCATGCTACTTTTGACCAACTTTCAATCAGCTATGATAGGCTATGTATCAACTACTGAATGATGTATGAATAGACCATTAATGCATGTATCAGCTGATTTATTGGCTGTGGTTACCAACAGCACACATAATTCCAGCACTAATTACTTATGTAACGATGGTGGGGGTTGGTTTATTTACAATCCAGTGTTTGGTATTTAGGAGAGTGTTGTTAACTTGTTCTTTTCAAACTTCTGGTGTGCTGCCAGACTAAGTGTTAATTCTCTCCTCTAGTTGTTACCCATTTCCTTAAGAATTAGTTTTGAGAATTTGGTGTTAGATCAAGACAACAACTTCTACCTGATATGTTTGAGTATTCTCATTACCTGTTTGCTGGATATTGTATAGATATGATTGGGAGAAGTTACATGCTTATCACTTCTGGGAGTTAAAGGGTGAAGTCTAGCTGGCCATCTACATAAGGTGGTCACATGGAGAAGATTAAGAAGACCAAGCTGATGTTTGAAATGAAGTTAATGTCATTTGTTTCTCTCACTTTAGGAGTCATTTTTCCACTGGACATTTGGTGTACTAGAAGCAGGTTGTCTTGGTGCAGTTGAGGTTGAAAGCACCTGTGCTATTTTGTTTTTTCCCAAACCTCCTCCAGGGTATCATAAATGGATTGGGGTGTAAGTCAAAATTTGCTTTATTTTCAATTTATGATCATCCACAATTATCTGGGATGACTAGGGAAGAATTCACAAAAACACTTAATTTTGGTTAAAAGTTACATCAAACCAACCCTTCATCAAAATACATACCTACTTAAGCAATAATGATACAGAGGAATGTTTCTGTTGAACCCATGCTCTGCATTTGTAACACATGTCATGACTGTATGATATTTCTCAAAAATTTCATTTGTAGGAGGAACAGTTTAGAGCACTTTAGGAAACGTTATGAAGTAGAAGAAGTCTACTACACCAACCAGGTCTGTAAATAGCCTAATGTAATCCATCCCAGTACTCTGAACATAAGTCATACATTTTCATTAGCTAGGCAGTTACAAAAGTTGGACCAGATTAACTTGGACTGCTCAACTGGGTAAAATCAACTAGGACTTACCTGGATCACTTTGTAGTGAGTAAAATTGCCTAAAACTTACTTGGATCACTGCAAACTACAGTACAATTCTAAAAAAGTTATTTATGAAAGCCTACTTTACTTCAGAATTCATCAAATGAATGAAATATCTCCTCAATTTTTCTTTGTTACTCAGATTGCTGATGTGTTGCAAAAGAAAAATCCCTCTGTTATTCTCACATTAGTAAGTAACATTGGAGCTGGGTGGAGCACCAAGGAACCCAAAATGTTTTTTATTTTATTAAATGTGTGACAGCACCAAACACAAGAGCCATGTTGAGGATCAGATTGGATCAAATTTTATTCTAATTTGTCCATATAAGGTTATATGGCATACATCCTTAATTTAAGGTTAACATCACATACATTAATATACTTATTTTATTTGCATTAAGGTTACACTTATTATGCTCCCACTAAGGTGTCATGTGTAGGAGAATTCAGAAAGTTTCTTAAACTTTATTTGACCAAGCCTGATCAGCACATCCTTCATTTTGAGCACCTACAGTAAATTAATCATTTTAATATTTGCTTTTTAGAAAGGTGTAAACACAGATTCAAGGCACATTTGCAAAGAAGCTACATTTGAAAACATTAACAAGTAATTAGTTTTGGAATTCAATCAGGTGTTGGATACTGTATTGTAATGTAAGACAATAATGTTATGGTATTAATGTTGGAATTCAAATTTCAGAATTTACCTCTCAAAGGTCTACTTTCTAATCAACTTTTAGTTATAGAGATTTTGTGAGGTTCACAATTTCCTCCTAATACCAAATACTATCAATGGTTGACCCTTTACATCCTATTGTCCATACTGTTCTTTATACATTTCTTAAGGTGCTGAAAAAAAGAATTGTTTAACAATCAAGAGCTTTTTCAGTTGGTGATCATTTCCTTAATCTTGTGACTAAAGTGTTTGATTCATAGGTGATATTGTAAGAAGAAATTTGATACCAGTCACCATCAGTAATTAAAGGGTTAATGTACTGGTAATGAATTTGAAAAAGAATTGTGTTTAAGCCTGAAGCACTTGGTATAGGGCATCATTTTCTTTTCTTATCTCCAGTTCACATCAGCCACGGAAGCTATAAAGTAACTTAACTACACAACATTAATGTTTTTCCTGCTAGGTTCCATGTAGACAATACTATTTTACATCCAGAGATTTCTGAATGGTGAGGTGATGTTCCTCTGTTTTGTTGACTGTCTACTTTTGATACCTCTGGATAATTACTGGGGGGAGTGGCTATTGTGTAGGCTAACAAGATCTTTACAAATACCTCCAAAAATTTTGTAACTCAAATTAATTGGTGTTGCTGTTTTTATGTAGGAGAATTGGTTTATGATAAATTCCCTCCCAATAACATAATATCATTCTCCAGGTGAGGTTCATATTTATATATCTGTATATTTTCTTAGTCGTGTATTCAAAACAGCTCAGGAACTGGAAGTGATTCGTTATGCTAACAAAATCAGCAGTAAAGCACACAAGGAGGTGAGTGCATCACTACTGGGTTATCACAAAATAATGTTTTAAAACCCAAAGCTATTCTGTGTTTTACAATTTCTGTCTGAATTTTTTTTATGCAATCCCAGTTAAATGATGTTCATACTCAGAATCAGAATAAGATTTAAGAGGTTGAGATGTAAGTTTGGGGAGTATTTTGATCATTTAGTTTAAGTGAAGAGCTTATTGACCCTAACCCTGATCGTAAGCTTTAACCAACCGAGTACTCTAATTGCCTTTCATCCATAGGTGATGAAACGTATAAGACCATGGATGTCCACATATCAATTAGAAAGGTATGTGTTTAAAGATGTTATCACAATCTTGCTGATCCTAAACTCAGTGGTGGATAAAAGTGAATCAGTAAAATAGGTTAATGGTTGGTATATGTGATATGATTGATTTTGTTTCAGTGTCAAATTTACCTTGATCCTTCTATTAATTTCTCACAGTCTGTTCCAGCACTATTGTTTTTATCACGGGGGATGCCGCCACTTAGCCTACAACTGCTTAATGGCAAGGTACAGTCGAATAACTGATACATAAGTGACAGCACTGATCCAGCCCTCTTAGAAGCCCGTTTCTAAAGCGTTTTTTTTTTTTTACTAGTACGTAAATTATTTGTAGATAGTTGTCCTTTTTTTTATATATATATTTCTTAGTGGTGTCGACTGTGCTTGTCCTTCTCATACAGTTGAAGTGGATAGTAAAGTTATACGGGATGGAGACATGTGGTAAGTTAGGCAATCTGAATCTCTCTACTTCCGAGAAATTTACTATAGCTCATGATCACTAACTACCATATGAATGAATTTTATAACGGAATATTGTTTCCGTCATTTTCCCGGATTTCCCCAAAAAAATTAAGCGAAAATTTACTCGTGTTATTTACGTTAACTTACTAAATCTCAACTTTGTTGAATAAATAAGTAATTTTATCACGGAGTCCGCATAAGAGCAGGAAGAAAAGCCATACTAGTGATTGAAGTATGTGAAGTGTTTTTTTCATGGTTCAATGTGTGAAAGTAATTTTTGTGAGCAAAGTGTTTTTCAAACTGAAAAAATGAAAATAAAATGTACAAAAACGTTTTTGCCGTACCGTATTGCTAAGGAAGGATGGCACCTGACTGATAGAGGAACTCTGAACCATGACTTGTTATCATTAAGCTTGTTACGCAATTTCTCCGGCCAGCAGAAAATAATGGCAAGAGAATTTGCGTTACAAGCCTAAGAGAATCTGTTGCAAGATTTATCAATTCACTTAGTTCCTAAATCCTTCCCTATGAGATTCCTTGGCGTATCTGAGGCTCGAAATATGTAAAATATCATAACGTTTCTTTTTTTCTGTAGTCTATTTGACATGGGTTGTGAGTATTACTGCTATGCTTCAGACATCACGTGTTCATTTCCAGCCAATGGCAAGTTTACAGACGATCAGAGAATGATTTATGAAATTTGTCTGCGGGCAAACCGAGCAGTTATAATAGCAATAAAACCTGGTAAATAACATTGTCTGTCGTAGAGTAAGAACTATGTTTGTAGCTCTGCAAAATTACTCGCCGTTGTTTTTTAATTGGCATAATCAATGGTCATCGCTAAGAATGTAAGCTTTGTCACGTGTTATTCAGATCCCTGTTTTGTGGCACTTGTTCCCTTTACGATTGTCCCATCATCTTTCAGTTCCTGTATGGAAAACCAGCCATGTCGCCTAAACATTTGTTTTCAATGTTTAGGTGTCAGCTGGGCTGATATGCACCGTTTAGCAGACCGTGTTCAACTGGAGGGCCTCAGAGACATAGGGCTCTTACAAGGGGACATAAATGAGATGATGAAGTTACATGTGGGTGCTGTTTTTATGCCTTATGGTTTGGGACATTTGATGGGCCTTGATGTACACGATGTTGGAGGATATCCAAAGGTATGTCAAGGAAGATGGTTGAAGCGATACTTAAGCTCTCTTGATGTTGTTGTTGTTGTTGTTTTTTTATATCGGCGTGTGTACCTCTAAGTTTTGATGAATGTATCACAAGATTGCATTTGAATTAATTACTTGCTATTCATAGTTTGATAGGCTGCTATGAATAAGGATAGCAATCAACATGACGAACTAAATGATTCCACGTTCTGTTTTTTTTTTCGATCATCGCGTAGCGGGACTTGTCAAGACTTAAGAATTAAAAATTAATTGGCGGAGCGCGCGCCACACAATAGAGAAAATGGCCTGAAAATCACCAGCATTTTTTTCTTGGTTTCACTCAAATCACTATGAATAAACCACTTTTATCATATGGCTTTTGAAGAAGAGAGGTTATAGAGGCTCCTTGTACCTTTGTTTTTGCTTTAGGACGTCAAGAAGACATATCCAAACGGGTATGAAAACTCGCTTCTTCTACATATTGCTAGTATAAGAAACAGCTCTTCGCCTTCTTATGGAAGTGATTTTGTGAAAGGAGAAACACTTTTTCCCAGGGTTAGGGTTAAGGTTTGGGTTAGGCGATTTTATACGCTGGTCGCGGCGACTGGCGTATAAAATCGCCGACATCTGGCAAGTCAGATATCGGCGACTACCTTTCGCTGTCATTCGTTCCCGCGATTTTCTTCTCTCACCGCTGCTAATCGCTGGTGAAAGCAACCAATTAAAATAAGCGACTTTATCGTACGACTTTTCAAAACGGCTGATGAAAGCGGAACCTGGTTTTGGACAGATGAGAGGAGTAAATTAAATCGTCTAGTGTTTTGAAAAGCCCACTTTGCAGATCGCTTTCTGAAGCGCTTCGGTTACAAAAAGAAAACGTTTTTGCTTCTCTGTCATCATTTTGTCCGTTTTCATCGGTGCGCGCGAAGTATGCATAAAGCTGAAGTACCACTTTACGGCGATCGGCGAAAAAAAAACGCCAAGCTTTTTCGCATCTCAATGGCGAAGATCGCCTGCGATATTTGCTGGCGGACGAACGCGCCGCAATCGGCGATAAATCGTTAATAAGGTTGGGCGCCTTATCCTTACTTTTTGTGCCGGAAAAACATTTGCAAAACATAGCCGAGAGGTTTCCCTCTCGGCTTTGTTTTGCAGTTATAATTTCTTCCTGTCCATGATTCAGTAAAAAGCAAAGTAATCGATACGTACTCTGCTGCCAAGAAGAACACCCAAGGCGCTTTTCACTGTTCAGTCCGGAATACAGCACACATCATGTAAACCTCCTCCGTTACCAAGTGAAGCCATCCTGCAACTGAATAACGGAACTCCATGGTTACATAAACGGTTTTGCTGTTTGTTACATGATGGTTGACGTAATAACTACGGTTTACCCACGCACGCACGCGCACGCGCATGTAGATTGAATAGCTTACCTTTTATGCGCTGAAAATTAAGATATCGGAAATTAAAGAACAATTCGAAGACGTTTTAGAAGAAATTGACGAAGGAGAAGTTGATTTATTTGAGAGTTCAGTTTAATGCTGATGTTGGTGGATATTTCTCGAAGAAAGTTTTAAACCAGGTATCTCCTTGTGTGTTGCATTTATGACCCCCTCGGCTTCGGTAACTTTGACCCTTACTCGCAAATCTTCCAGTTGATAATGATGTGAAATTATCCGAAGCATCCTTGCGTGTTACATTTTTTTCCCATTTAAGATAACATATCCATGACTCCTTTCAAACTTAAAAAAGGAAATGTTTCATCTAGCGGTTCAAACGCAATATATCATAGTCAGGACAAAACAAAGTTGGTGATCCACTTATAAAGAACCTGGGTCGAAAAATAAGTGTTCGAATGTTTTTTTACAGGGAACCGAAAGAATTAATGAACCAGGCCTCTGCTCGCTCAGAACTACCCGTGTCCTGGAGGAAGGCATGGTGCTCACCATTGAACCAGGAATTCATTTCATTCGTGGAGTAAGTCAGAATTTCATGTGAAGTATCCCATTTGTGGAAAAACCAAGAATAATACTAGAACTATCGTACGATAAACAGTTCACAACGTTGTTCTGGGGGAGAGGGAAGGGGGATCGGAGAAAGGGATGCTTTATTCAAGCGGGACAGACATGGTAATGTTCAGCATATTTGTCGCCGACTGTTGATAAGAATGTACGTTCAGTTTGGTTCAAGTCGTCTTTAAATTTTTCGTTGCACATGCAATTTAAGGCCGGAAATACAACTGCACTTGACGCAAGTTCATTGATGATGATGTCACTATTGTGTGCTGGACATGTTATGTTGGTGTGCAACACAGATTAACCAACTGTCACTAACTCTGCTTATGTTTTTCGAGGTTATCGAGGAGGCACTAGAAAATCCTGAGACGGCGTGTTTCTTCAACCGAGAAGTCTTAAACCGATTTTGGAATTTTGGAGGGGTGAGATATTCTTGAGACTTAATCATTCATTGTAGGAAGGTGTTTTACAGACTCGTACCCAGTCGTTATTTACGTGTTTTGTGGGGAGAGAAGATTGGATACGGGGATGGATTGAGACACCCCTCTCAACACTCTTGTATCCAATCTTCTCTCCCCACAAAACAGGTAGATAACGAATGTTTACGAGTCTGGGTGTTTTAGTGACAACCACGTCTTTATTTTTTGACTCATGCTTTTAACTTTCAGCTGCTTCAAATGAAACGAATTTACTTTTGTTGATGTTTCCAGGTCCATATCGAAGACGACATAGTGGTGACGTCCGAAGGCGTGGAGCTGTTGACAGATGTGCCTCGTACGGTAGATGAAATCGAGGCTCTGATGGCTCAGGAATCTCAAGGATCAAACTGATATTTTCCTTATAACCTCTCGATGTAAAAATATTTTATTACGCTCAGCGAAAATTTTAGATAAGTTTGGATAGCCCTTTCAATTAAAAACTATTGTTATTTTGTAAGGTGTATGGGCAGTTCCGCATAATTGCAATATGCAACACGAGAACACCGCGATGTGTTTTAATAAAGTGGCCATTTTCATGCCCGGATTGAGCAATGGCTTTGGCTACTTCTAACAGACGAGTGCAAATTTACCGCTACACGACGTTTTTTCAAGTGAACCAAACTGAGTCTGCTGTCTTTCATTCCACTAATCTAGAAAACTTTAACTCTTGTTGTTGTTCAATGTGATATAAACCCAGATCAAGTTTCCAGAGCACTCCATCTGTCCCTCTCCTATCGTCTCCAGTATTTACCGCCCCGCCCCCCCCCCACCCTTCCCCATACTAACCCAAAACACACCACAACCTCTTACAGAGAACAGCTGCATCTCTCCCAGGAAAAGAACGCTAAAAAACTAACGACAACGTAAAAGATGATTTATTAGAATTACCTATAAGAATTTTCCCGTCTATTTAAAAAAACACAGGGTTTTAAAATACGACCTCTGAAAAAAGGAGACCTTGGTTATGACCACGTGGAACTGTCCTCTGAAAAGTTGAAATCAGTTCACATGTCAACTGTAAGTCAGTAAATTTGTATTCTAGTCATTACGATTTCCGCGATCCTAGTAATCATTCAAAAACCAACTGTTGAGAACTGAATGCCTCAGTAGATATCTCAAAAGCATCCGAAGTGGGTTTTTTGCTAGGAGAACTCCAGCTCAGTCAAATAAAAGAAACCAGCGAAAGGTTCTACTTTTTTCACTTCGACAATTTACCATAAAATGAAAGAAATTTGATGAGCCCTCGAAAACACTTTGACAGTACTGCATGCGAACAACGATTTTTTTTAGCCAAAAAATATACGGAAGGTAATAATATCAGCATATACAGTTTATGCATTGGTTTTAAGCGAAAAGTGAATCGCATAATCCAGAGACGTTGTAGTTCTTTGTGAATTCAAATATTAACTTACAATGCCAGAAATGAAACTTTCAAACACTTTTGCAACAGCACATCAGACTCTGTCATCATTCTGCACAATTCGACATAAAAACTGCTTGCTTTCAGCATTAATCCGAGTTGCAACAGGTTCCGGTAAGTTTCGTTAGCCTTCAATATGCAAACAAAAAAATGATAAATAACCCAACTAGCAAACAAATTAACATGGAAAACCAGCAAAGCTAACCGACACTTGATGATGCACAATAATTCAATATTCGGAAAAACCCAAATGTAATTGAAAATTTTGTAATGTCAAATAATTTAATGTTAAAACTATGCCTCATATTTTTGAGTGAGCAACGATCATGAATCTATAACCATAATTTTACAGCCTTAAGTACAGCATGTCTCAACAACTACTGATCACGCGCTAAAGCGTAGCACATCAGGGTCCGAGCGTTGATAAAAATTGTTTCTTTACGCCATCAACCATTGTCAGCTGGTGTCCTGTGGCGAGGGTGGCATACTGTGGTCTTCCAAAACCCTATCTTGAATGTGCATTCTGCACATAGGGCAGTGTTGGAGTTGTACAGCGCACCTCATACAAACGTCCCTATAAGTAAAACGTACCTTAAAACGAGGATCAAGTTAAGTACAGAGATTTTAATCAGCTATTTCGAGAGGTTTCAAGTGAAGTCTTAAATTCGAAATACGAAAGGCACCTCAAGAATGGAAGGGTTAAATAATTTAATTGGTTGTAGCTAATTTTTCGACTTGCCTGTGGTTGCATGGTTCCAGTCTTGTATCAGCAGAATTCTCATAACATATTTTACAAGGATCATTGGATATACTCTCTTGGCGGATAGCAGCTAATTTCAGGTGCCTAGAGAAGAGTTTTGAATAATGTTAGACTCTTACACACCCACAGCCGGTTAAAGGACTGTTGTCGGTAGTGGTAACTGACGTTTCGACAACCTGAGCGGAAGTCATCATCAGAGTCAAGTGAAATCTTATTGTTACGACCAAGATCATAAGCTAACAACATTGGAGTGCGAGGTGTTATTCAAAATAATAATCTGAAATAAATCAAACTCAATAAGAGATTGTTCTCACTGAAAATTTCATCTGTCCTACCTGGGTAAGACTATTTTGTCCTCGGAAGACATGTTTGCATGATCGTTGAAATTGTCGAAAGGGACGTTGGGAGGAAACCTGCAATAATTCATGAGTCGAGTAAAAGGAACGTTGAGTAAAATAAGTTGAAGTATCGTGTGAAATTGAACACAAGGCGGTAACAGACAAAAACATTTCTCAAGATAGGAGTAGACTGAAAGACTAATTTAGCTGCGATTAAAAGACTCTGAAAAGAAAGCAATCAGTAAAAGTTTTCAAGCTGACCATGGATGAAATAAAACTCTTGCCATTAAATTCAAGGGGTTTTTATTGCTGCACAAAGAACATTTGAGGCTACAAGTAAAGCAGCAGGGATGCTCCTTTAGCTACACAAAGAGAGGTCCTCGATGTCAGGGTAAAACTCGTTGCGAAAACCTCTTTAAAACGAACGGTTAATTTTCCTCGACCAGTAGTATCAAAATATTCTCCGACAAAGGACGATCTCAGTCTCTTAGCGCTAGGACAAATCAATATTCCACTGTATAGTAACTGTGCGTTGGTAAAGAAATAACTGCAGACTAATACTCATTGTAAAATTATCTCTATCCACTAACTGGTGGTCAAATACTTGTTTTCCATACATCCCTTTAGCACTGAAAACATACTTACATGAAGGGTTTAGCTCCAAAATTAAATATACAGTGTTGAAAAGACATAAAACTTGCCGCAGCAAAGAATCCAGCCCTAAAATAAAAACAAAGGCTTGAGAAACGATTTCTACAGTTTGAATTAAACGTTTCTGAACTGTACTCAAACTGGGAAAATTGGTCTGAAAAGTGGCACCATTGTAATTGTGATCCCTGTGCAGATTTCCCCTCACGACCGTATGGGAGGACTGTGATCTCATGCCAACTGAAGTCAAGTCATATCATCTGTACTGGTCCTTATCTACACTTCAGCACGTATGAAACCAAGATTACCTTCTTATATCCTTCTACATAGAGCTTACCCTGAAAGTGCTGCCTTAAAGTCTCTTATAATTGTATCACCGTTCATGGAAAATGCCACTTTACCACGCTCTAAATCGATAAGAAGGCCGAGAACATCACCTACAAAAAACATATCGTGATAAATTTGATAATGTATGAGACAATATGATTTGTGACATTGGGGATTAAAATGGTATGATCAGGTGACCAACTGACCTGGTACCCAAGGGGGGTGGTGATGGGGGGTACTCCTGGCTCCATGCCATATCAACTGTCGGCAGCCATCATAGGCATAAGAAAACTCATCATCACCAATGCCATATCCTTCCTGGAAAAAGTGTTCATGAACAGCCATTCATAGTCAGTGTACAGTATAAAACAATAGCATCAAGTCAACTGTGAACTGACCAGTCAACATATATAAAGGGGTAAGTTTCTAAAGAAACTGTGGTGCTGCGTCGGTGGGAGAGTATAGCAGGTAATTTAGTGTTAACAACTGAGTTGAAAATGTAAATTAGCCACCGTAAAGGGTAAAAAACGTCAGCTTTTTTACCCTTTACGGTGGCTAATTAACGTTTTCAACCCACCTGTTAACACTAAATTACCTGAGTCAACATATATGCCTATCTAATCTCAACACCACAAACTAATTACCTTTGATGTTTGTAGTTTGATTGTCTTAAGCTGATTGACTTTATAATTAGAACACAATAAGATTCCATAAATGTTATTATTAGTTTCAACTGTTTTTTGAGCTCCAGAGTAAGTCTTAAAAGTCTAAAAAGCAATTCCTAGAAAAAATTATCAATGAGGAACACCAACAGATCAGAGAATTACTACCTAAGGCACAATGGAGCACAAAGAATATGACATCAGTAAAGTGAAAGGGGGCTTCACTCTAAACTTACATGATTAAGAAACTTGCTGTCCTTAGTAGCCCAGCCAATCTGCATCACTCCAGCTGTGAGAAGAGTCACTTCATAATACCACACACCTGAACACAACAACATGTCAATTAAACCAAATATTAATTTTTGACTTGATGAAAACTATTAGTAAGACCTTGCACTGACTTGGTTGCGAGTTAAAGAGATGCAGTGCACCTTTAAATTTCATTTAAGATTATTGAATTCATTCAAAACTTTTCGCGAAATGATTATTACATGAAGAAATTTTTTCGATCAGTGTAAGTCTAAATGTCCTACATCTTGATGAATTAACTGCTGAATGAGAGAACAGAGAACACTAAATTCCAATTTGAACCTATTTGATTTTGTGCCTTTCAACTGAGGCACAGTTATAAATCAGTGAAACAAAGAGGGTGCCGACCAATCGAAAACTATACCCTGGCTTCACTCTGATTATCACTCTAACAAACACACACAAAGAGGCTCTTCTCTTTTAGATAAGACTGGCATTATTAGGGAAAGGAATATTCAGGTCAGCAGCTCCAGGCCTTTAGAATTTTCTACTGCAACATCTAATTTCTACTGGGAGTCTCAATACATTCAAGGAAGCTTGTAAGAGACATTTACTTTAAATCTTTAAGTTCTGGTTTAGGTAATTTTTTGTTGTAAGTGTATTCCTAGTTATTGACCCTGTTATAGTTATACATCTACAGCTGTAGGTAAATCACATGCTCCATTAATATGTTTATGAACATGTGCACTTGGTAAATGTAATACAATTGGAATATTCTCTTCATTATTCTTACTACTATAATCATCATAACTATCATTGTCAAAAGATTCTTAATAAGGTTTAATCTGATTTTTGACATGAAAAGAAACTGACCAGTTGAGGCACAAAATGTACACCGCACACTTTCAAAAGAAGATGCATCACACCTTGCCTGAAACAATGATTTAATATAGATTATTTTTTCTTTAGATAAAACACAAGATTTATGAAACAATAGCAACTACATAGACAAGTTTGTTTCAAATTTGTCAATCAAACGCATTACTCAATGTC